TGATGCGCTGGAATGAAGTGCAGGTGCACTCGACATACCACTGCTGGCAGGCGAGGTTGATGGTGTCAGCGTGAGAGGAGGTGCAACAGGGCCTGTGGATAGGGAGGGGGCGATGCTGGGATTAAGGCCTGCGAGAGTGCCGAGGCGGTGCATTTCTCGTGAAACAAGCTTTGCATCGTAAGTGCGGGTGGAGGGCTAAGATGACGAATGTCAATTTCAAGGATTGGATGAGCAATGGGAGGTATACTTTGGAGGGAGATGTGTGTGTTTTGAGGGTATTTGAAGACGAGACAGAAGTCATTATGGAGGGTTGGATGGTTAGGTCTCTCGGTAGTTCAGAACGAGGACGCGAATGCGACCGATCGCGGAAGTTTAGGTGCTTTAAGGGACTTGTATTGATCGGGTTGCTGGTATTGGAAGTAGTAAAAAAGGCAAGTTTTCTCGGAAGTGTGGCAAGAAACGGATCGGAGCTAAGGATATCAACGTTCGGATTATGATGTGGGGCCGGTACAGAACTGTCAAAATGAGAGTTATTGTCAGTATCAAGCAGTGCTTCGCGATGTTGGCAGCGCTGGTCATGCTGATGGGAGGGACCCGAGCGGAGAATGGTGGGTTTTGGACGCGGTGTTGCATCACTGGAGGATGCAGACCTGCGCTGATCACCATACCTGCGCTTGGGACTACTGTCGCTCTGCTCGTCATCGCCGTCGTCAATGACAAGAGTCGGTGACGGAGGCGGCGGCGTCGAGGGCCCACTGTCATATGACCGGCTAGCACGGCTGCGCAACATTTTAGAAGCAGATACTTGACTGTGTGATGTAGTTAGAGAGGAACATATGAATGACAGACCTGGAAATAGATACGACAACTGTGGGATCCCTCAATCAACCACAAAATACAAAACATTAACGCGGGGCCGGTGCACCGTCGGCATTTCCTAAAGAGTGCACATGACGGTGCCACCAGGCTCAACTTTGCCCGTGATCGACATCCTCAGCAACTAGTCAGCTCACGTAGCATTTATCCATCCTGCCATCACAGATGCGCTGGGCCTGCTATCCGACACCGTCCGTTCGTCAAACTGCGGACCCACGCTGGTCGTTTATCCATCTGTCTTGGCAACGACCTTCTCTTGGAAGCCATGTCAAGTCGGTCACACATTCGCCGTCTGGAATTAGTGGGCCGACATTCTGCCGTTACTTCCGTGGATTATTCACAACACTCTGTCGATGTCCTCACTTCCATACCCTGCAAATCGCCATGGATGCTGTGAATATCGATATACATCCCCAAGCCGAGTCATTTTGTCATGTATCCCTAAAAGAGCTGCAAGTGTGCTACTCTCTGTTAGCACATTCTGAAGCTGTTGCTCGCATCATTTTCACCATGCTCCCTTGCGTCCACCAAGTCTGCTACTACCCGACCAGTGAAAATGATCTCTCGACGTCATGGTATGGAGTCAACAGCCTTCTCGAATCTTTCAGATGTCAGAGGCACGGCCACATTTCGGATATACAGGAGATCCGATCCACCAGTGTCACATACTAAATCTTCTGCGGTTGTTGCCAGAGCAAAAGTGATATCCTCGTGTTTGCTGTTCAAGGTGCGGATCATCTTTCAATGTATGTGATAAAGTTAATGGATTCCGCCACCGTAATACTTCATTCTTAACTTTTGAGAAGATGCGATATTTTTTGTACGTTACTGTCACCATTAGTGACCAATTCAACGAATACTCCTGGGAGTACTGAGTGCTTAGCGGTTCAACTGTTACTAGAGGCCGCCTACAGCAAACCCATCCGTGCCTATGTCTCCAGTGCACCCGCAAAGATGCGACGAAAACTTCCAGCGCTTTCGAGCATGCTTCAGATGATCGATGATCCTTCAGGTTGAGGGCTTTACTTAGAAGCTTACTAGTAGAGCACCTTTGGTGTGCAGTGGAGACGGCGCCCCATAAGTCATTCCAAATTATTAAATCAGATAAAATAACGTCAAAAGGCCACCAGACGCATCGCCGTGGCCCGTGGGCTCTGGCAGCGATTTGCAGCGGGAAACGCGTCGAGAATATAGCTCACGTTTATGGAAAGTAACGCGTCTTTGTCTTTGTGTACTATTCAGGGGATCTCGCACTCTGAAAGACTTGAGTACCGATCCGCTCGTCATACTGCCTCACACCACGCATGAATATGGTTCAGATGACCTGCGCGCACAATAGTAACAGAATAGAATTTTTATTAATTGTCATTTTCATGCAATTTTAGCCAATCCGGACCATGTATCTCGTACGTCAACATATTTTGTTCTGGTAGCTGAATTATAGACACTATTTTGAACAACTTTCTCTGCAAGACTTTGTGTTTGGGGCAAACAGATGCGCTCCAAATCAGCCTTCTCTATAGCTGTGGCAGTGCCGTGAGAATGGGTCTTTTGCCCACTGCCACCTAACTCGAAACTCCTTCAAAACCGCGGAATGAATTTGATCCACCTATCACCTACGTCGTGAATTTATTTGACGAATCTGACTAAGGAGCTGACACGCAAAAGACAGACAGTGAGCGCCTAAGTTGTTTCAGCGCCTACTCTAATGACGAAATCACGTGTGTATCGAATACTGACGCACGCAGCACGTGAATGTGATATCACATCGACGTCAGGACAAGCCCACAGGATAGAACCCCTAGTGGGCTCCCCGCAGTCAGCATAAAAGGTGCTCGCTAGGGGGGTGAAATGCAGTTTGCATCCACCAATTTATCTATCGAACGCTCATGTCTGGTATGTCTTCGCGCGTCTCCAGCCGACTCCTGGCGACAAGCTCACGCGTTCGCGTCGCAGGACACAAGGAACACACTAAAGACAGCGCTCGCGTTATTGCTGGCCTGAAAGCGGCTGTGCACAACCCTCATGTGTCAAATGAGGCCAAGGAAAACGCGATGAAACGCCTCGAAGAGATGGGTCAGACAGCGGACCCCAGTCCGCCAACGCAGGGAAGGTCGGCCGCAGACGAGGCTCATGAGAAAAATGTCCTTCGGGGCTATAAGGCGGCGACTTCCAGTATGTTGCTGTTGCGTGTGAGGGTGTGCTATCTTGCTGATTGATTGTGCAGACCCCCATGTTTCCGAACAAGCCAAGCAACATGCCAGAGAAGTATTGGAGGCTGCTGGCATTTATCAAAAGCTAGATATACATTCAGATGAGGAGCACCAGCACCGTGTCCTTGCTGGATACAAGGCGGCCATCCATAGTGAGACCAGCCCCTCACTGCTTCGCATCTTCTAATTGTCTGCATCTCCAGACCCTAATGTTTCAGCTGAAGCCAAGGAACATGCCAAAGAGTATCTTTCTCAGTCCGGCGTCGAAGTGGAGTGATCGAACGGAGGCTGCATGGATTAATGTATTTTACTGTCACGTCATTAATGGTCTCCTTATGATTGCCTGGGTATTATAACGTCAACATGGTGTTACTTTGAAAACTCCTCAAGTTGAGACAAAACTCTATCCACTCTGTCCTCCAGTCCCTGTACATTACTTGCGACTGTCCCCCTGTTGGCTTCTAAGCTGACCTCCACGTCTGCGACAGCACTTTTGAGAGCTTCCAGAGCTTCCCTTGTCTTGCGCTGCTCTTCCTCAAGCGCCGTCATCGTTCCTTGAAACTCACCTGCAGACGCATGGAGCGCGGAAAGAGTACGCAAACGAGTCAATATATGTGGGATATGAGGAAGCGATGGTGCTAGACGAGAGAGTAGGGGGAGGATAGCATCCTGGGTCGTAGTGCTATGAAGTGTCATGGCACTCCCAGCCTGGGAAGGCTGCGACTGGCGCTTTTGTCCCTGCGCAGTAGATACACGCTCCAGGTCGGACAGCAGAAGTTTCAACCGTCGGGATATGGAGTCGATATGCCGTGGTTGAGTTAAGAGCGTCAGTTGTGAGTTCAAGCGAGTAATCATAGGAAGAAGAGGTGGTGTGATTGGCGTGGACTGGAAACATTGGATGAACACCGCAGCCTTGACATCGAAAGCCACACATACCTCATCCAAAGTTGCGCTTACGGACCCCACTAGTTTTTCTAGTTCCCCGACTCGTTTGTCCATTTCAGCGACGCTCCGAACGTCCGATACTGCATTCCTTTTCGGCTCAACCCCCTTGTCAGTAGCATCGTGAATCTGTTCGTTGTCTTCTTCACCGCCTTCCCTACCACCATCACCAAGCACGACGCCGACTAATCTCCCTCGTCCCTCACGCCCCATTCTAACTTTTTCTAACCTTCTCCGCACGTCTACTAATCCTCTTATCATCTCGCCAGCGTCAACACCCTCAGCCTTAAGTGCAGGATTCGACGGATCGGCAACCTCGACCTCCAAAGCAGTAAGCTCAGCCTGCAGGGATCGCAGGCGTGCAGGGAGGGGCCGCCTATTGGGTGACGGGGAACGTGATTGAGAAGATGTCGGTGACGGTGGGTATGTAAAGCGTGATGCCTTGCCTGATGGCAGCATGGTCAGACGTTAGTGATAAGATCGATCGCCTACTGAAAGAGGGAGTGCAACGCACGACGCCGTTCTGCTCTCCGAAAGTGTCTGCTTGCCTCTTCGGCACTGATCAAATTGCTGTTGTCGAGTTCTTCCTTTGAGGCATCTCCACCACGCTGGGTGCGTGTCCGTGGACCTGAGGGTTCATCAGAATCGGAGTCTCCTCTCTACGCGGGCATCAGATATTCATGAGTGGCCTTGTAGAAGACGAGGAGTACATGCATTAGTCTCAGAAGAGGGAAATACGTCCTCTGTTTCATACACGTCTGGTGCAGTGTCCTGTCGCCGAGTAATAAGTTGAAAAATCACACCGTACCAGCGATGTTACGCACGATGTCGGGGAGGTTTGCATATTTGTTTGCGCTCATCGTGATTCGTGAGCGTTGGCGTTTTATGTATTGTCTCAAGAGTTTGCTCGACTGAATCACGTCTCGCGTAGACCCCGTGGGAACTCTCTATTTAAAAAGAACCAAAAAGCGTCACCTGAGCGATTCGAACACTCGCGGGCAAAGCCCAACCGCTTCGCTGTTAGCAGGCGATCCCGTTAACCACTCCGGCAAAGTGACTTATCGCCTCCTGAAGTCAATGAGCACATATTCGCACACACTGGGTACTAAGGCTTAGTGAGATGTAGGACTCCAGCTGCGAAGTTCAAACGCGAAAAACGACCGTCCCGTGAGCGTAGGGATCAGATATGAAACACAGGTGCAACTACTTCTGGGAATTTCTGATGAGAAATGCCTTGATGTTGGTTTAGACAAAGACTTTGCGTGGCGCTATTGTGCCGCATTCGATGAGAGAATGTTTGCATTGGTAAGATGCAGGTAGCTATTTGGGCGGAGCCCCCCGAAGGGGTCCCGGCCCCGATAGCGGCCCCGACCTGTGTGAAGATGAGCCGAGGTGAGCTGCGAGGGTGGGTGGGCAACCTCGCAGCCTCAGACTCTGAAGGTCTAGGTACCGCCACCCAGGCCTCTAGAGTATGAATGTAACTATGTAGCTGTAGCAAAGAACCCAGGTAACACTATTAGTAGCAAAAAGGTGTCGCGGAAAAATTGTAATATAAGTAGGCTGCAAGGATCCAAGAGAGAGCGAAGGATAAGGGAGTGGAGGGCGGGGAAAAGAAAAGCTGAAGACGGCGAGGCTCGAGCCTGCTGGAGCACGGCGCGAGCACTATGAGGTGCGGAGACAAGAGACGCCACGTGCTGCACGGCCGCTGTCGCAAAGTCCTAATACTAACCCTACAGTCGTGCCTCCTTTCGGGATAGACCATCAAAAGATGAAATTACGGTACGCAGAGCCTGTCCAAGACCCCAAGAGACACGATAGGATGATGAATGCTAGTCTCCCGTAGGCAGACCCTAAGGGAATGAAGATAGTTGTTCCTTCTGTATGATGAATGCATGCCATTGCCCACACCAAGTAAATCACTTCGAATGTCTTCGTCGTCGTACTATTTGCCTGCGCCCTTACCGCTTTTACTCTAGCACCAATATTTATCACTGAGACAGTTGCGACGTTGCACGCACTCCCTTCAAAGCTCAAAGACCTTTCGCCATACCTGCTTCGATCAGGCTCATAGGCATACATAAGTCATCTGCAGAGCCACCTCCGAGTCCATCTCGAGCATGATGATTCCAGTAACATCTAGTGCCCAGAGGAGTATGACCCCAGTACCATAATTTAATACCCAGAGCTTCCATTTCTCAGAAACCCTTATACATCCTACTCGTACTTACTTTCCACCCCGACGGTTTATTACAAGTTAACCCAAGACTCCCGGGCCCCGATATCCATCCTCGATCCCATCGCCCATGCTGAAGGAGAGTGAAACACTACGCTCTCCCGTAAACGTCCCACCCGCCGTCCGTGAATATCACCGCAGGTACGCCAGGGCACCTCTACCCGGCTTTGAAAATGGCAAGTCCTTCCTATCCTTCCTATCATCTCTCCACGCTGTGCTCCTTATTCCCTATCAGCTGTAAAGTTTGAACTGACTGCTTTTCATTTGCAGGTGGACATATATCACAGAGCACAACGTCCAACTCCCAGATGAATACGACCACATTCACCGTGATCTCGCCTCCTTCCAAGTCCTGGGCACCGAGCCAACGCGATCATAGGCCATCCAGCGCGATTTGGAGGGACATGTCCATTCCGACACACTCGCAATATCTACCCCTTCCGGGCTGTTTGATATTGCAAATGATATGCTGCCCGACGACGAGCATGAGAAATGAAGGTGACTCAATGACACGTATCGGATATTTCAGTTGATGAAGGAGGTCGATGAGGACTTGGCTCTCTTTAGGGCTGTGTTTAGTGCGCATTGATAACCCCGATGTGTTTCGAAGTTCTGACGGACGAAATGAGGAGAGAGCTCACAGGTCAGGCAACTGTACGTTTTCACCATACCTTTGTCTTCCTCCTAGTAAGCGCTGAGCTTTTAGATATTGAAATGGACTGAATGGAGAGGCTAGCTGTACACATGTCCCGGCATCCGCAGACTCATTCATCGACCATGCGCCCCTACCCACCCATGCCCAAAGGCAGAAGTGAACCACCAAAACATAACCATTCTTCTTCGACCACCTCCTCACAATGGACCCATTCCTAATGTACAGCCCTACTTCAAGTGCCGAGCCCTGCCCCATCCTTGATCCAGCTTATGCTCCACCTCTTTGCATGCCCCCTTCGCATCCACACTCGTGCTTGTGGACATCTGATGTCGGGGGTGGGGGTGGTGGGGGGGGACAGGAGGCTGCTGTGGAAGGGGATGAATACGGGGACGGATTATCCAGAGGATAGGCCGTGGATGGACACGCTGCAGAATAAGTGGATGAATATGACACCCAAATGGTGCGTGGAGGTTTTTGGTTATCGATGCGCATGGTAAAGGCCGTGAGAACGGGAGAGTGTGAGAGTAGAGAAGGTGAAGAAGACGAGGCTCAACCATACTATGCTTTACATTACGTTTCCAGGGAGGATTGGAGAAGAAAGATGAGTGTGAGGGAAGCGGGCAAACACAAGTATGCGCTTGATGCGAATTCCCAATTCTTTATCTCAACCTTCTTTTTTGTACGCCTGTTTTGTTCACCTCTTTCGCTGTTATGTTTGCGACTGCGACTGCGACTTACTTGTTTGTTTTCCAGGTAGATGGAAATAGCTGCTTGAGCTGATTTAAATGGCTCACGGCAACTAATGCACTTGTCTTCAAATCCATAATCTACCCTGCCCACTTCGTCCCCTCGCTATCCAGTCCCCATGCAAACTAAAACTTGAATCCCCACAGGCTTGTTGGATTTCGGCGATTGAAGTTTGCCGACGCGAGCTCGACACTTAGTAATCTCGGTAAAACCGGCATATTCATTACAGTACATAAAGACTAGCTACAGTTTGTAGTACGCTATGGGTTTCTCTCCGTTTTCACTGTGCTGGAACTATCGGAATATTTCGGGCGTTATTGAAGTCCTTCGCATATCGCATGTGATATTTTTCTACATTCTACGATAAGATAAGAATTATTTACGCATATATAGTTGTACCCACGAGTCGAGAACCTTTGCGCGTTTGCAAAGGGTTCCCTGCCTATACCATTTCGTTGTTCGTTGTTTGCGCAGCCGCGAAATTCCAACAGGAACTGGCACATAATTCAATACTCTTATCCTTCACAGGCTTCACATCATGCATCCGACTTTGTGACATGATCAAGACAATCTAAACATTGCAATCAGGGTACAAAGAAGTCAATCAAACAATTACGAAGAACTTGATAAAGGAAAATCAGACTCCTTGCCACAACTCCCAGGACTTCCTTACTCCTCAAAGACCTTGGCTAAATGGGAGCTAATAAGATTAAAGTTCAACTCTAAGATGAATGAGACCCACACATGCGGTTCTGCAAAATGATATCTATGATCATCTTGCATAGCTTCATGTCATCTCCATCATCTTGATGAAGAATATCTTTCACAGCCTTTTCCACCACTGCTGCAGTCTTTCTCTCAGTATACGCAGCAGCAGCCAATTCTACAAGGTGTCCTGGCTTCTGATTGCCCTGCTGTGACAAAAAGAAGGAATATTCAACAATAAGGATGGTGGCTAGAAAGCTTGTGTAAATAATATTTCAGATGTCAAAGAAGAGCTTAACCAATGCCAAGTTGTATAGTTTGTGTCACTGTGTTGAATGACCATTGTGACTATCATAGTGCATGTTCAACATTATCTATAATTTAAGCAAGGGAAGAACAAACCAAACTTGTCTCAGAAAGTTGATATCCACTGATCTCACTTGCTCCAGTGGGATTAATACCCTGAACACATGAATCAGAGTGCACAATATGGAGACTGGGAACAACATACATCCTTTAGGAAGTTGTGTGATGTTGTGAGT